AAATTCTGATTAAATTTTTACAGGGGATTTGATTGTTCAAAATCGATTTATATAATTACAGGGTGGGAGCCGGACATTGACCCAAATTAGTAGAGCATAGAAAAGACTTACACTCCGTTTCTCTCCGCTCTAGCCCAATAATTCTTATTATAAAATTATTCGTTGTATATAGAGTTCAAATCTGTGAATATCACAGTTAGTATTAGAAACGGATGTTTATTTAATATATGATATTTGATTACACAAAATTCATAGATAATTAAAGATTACCGGTATTAATCAAATATAATTGACCCGTGTATATTTGTAAATAGTCGCGTGAATATCTGCAGTTATAAATAATAGTATGGGTATCTTATTAGGAGATTATTTTAATTGATATATATCGATAGTAATTAATCAATTATATAATCATCCTCCATTTATTATTATCGTTAGTGATATATAACAAAATCGTTAAATTTTCTTAAACTTTGACAATGATTTTCTCAATAACTACTAATCCAAATCAGTTTAAATTTTTATTACAGATAGTATACATGTTCACTTATAACATATTAAAATTTCAGCTAAATTGAATTAATAATTCTCAAGAAATCACTTGTATACGATAGTCAATTTTTTAAAAAAATTGACTATTGTATACAAGCGATTTCTTGAGAACTATCAATTCAATTTAGCTGAAATTTTAATATGTTATAAATTAACATGTATACTATCTGTAATAAAAATTTGAACTGACTTGGATTAGTAGTTATCGAGAAAATTGCTATTAAAGTTTAAGAAAATTTAACAAATTTTATATAATCGTTATTAATCGATATTTGTATTTAATGATTTTAATTAATTTAAATCAATATATCAATTATAATCTACATATTATATTACTAATCAATTAGTAATAACATTGCCGATTATAATCAAATTCTATCAATTATAATTGATTAATCTGATTATATTGATATACTATATATTCTTTTAAAAAAGTGATACGTACTATCTAAAATCTGGATATTCATTTATAAATATCTAAAACTCATGAATATTTACTAAATAGCTATGATAGATATTCAAAGGATCTGATTAATTGTATAATATAAATATTTTTATTGTATAATAAATTTAAAAATTATATAAAATGAATAAAATTTTAATTTTTTTTAAAAATTTTTTTAATAATTTTTTAAAAAATATATTAATTTACAAATTTTTCAAAATGTCTCAACAACAAATTTTTAAATGTTCAATTTGTTTAGAAAGTAACTTATATCTTAGAAATGTTACAGTAAATTTACAAGATAAAATTAATAATTGTCCTGATAAAGAGTATTATATACATCTTATAACTGGAGTTGATAAATTATGTTCTTCTTGTTATATGAAGATTATTGATTCTGAAAGATTTCAAAAATCTACTATTAATAGAAATAATCAATTAGATAATATGGATAATTTAGTAGATAATAGTGAATCTAATATTTCAACAAATTTAATGGATATTAGTAATTTAATAGAATCTAATAAGTCTAGTTCTTTTATAAAAATTAATAATCTTATAGATTTACCAGAACTTAATAATACAATTAATATAATAGAATTGATTAATACTCAAAAAAAAGAACTAATTCAAAATAATTTAACTAAAATTGATCAATTTAAAGATATTACAATTAATACAGTTGATAATAAGATTTTGATTGATAAAGAAGATTTTAATCAAATAATTAAACTAATTGCTCAAAGAGATTTAAAAATAGAAACTTTAGAAAATCAAAATAATAATAATTTAATATTATCAACATCAAATAATCTAGGTAATTATTAAACTTTAATTTTTAATTTTATTTTTTAATAATTTTAATATTAATTTATATTTTTATTTAAAGCTCAAAAATATTCATTTGCTCAACAAATAGAATTATTAACAACTATATTATTAAAATATCAAAAAAATAATAATGAATATTTATTAGATCCTATACAATTTCAACAAATGATTGAAACAAATGAACCAAAATTAATAGGATTTTTTGATGAAATGATTGATGCATTAATTCCAAAAAAAAGGCTTATTAAAAATATAGAAAAAGCAAAAAAACAAGTAGTTGGATATTGTTATCTTTTAGTTGGAATAAGAAATAAATTTGCTAATAATTTTAAATTAGATCTTGGTCTTTATTTACAATCTTCAGGAATGTCTAATTCTGGAATTAATACTTTATCAAATATTGGTCTTAGTGTTCATACAAAAACAATTCAAAGATATAAAAAAGATATTGCAAAAACACATATAACAAGAATTAATGAATATTTTAATTTAAATGTAAGTATTTTAAATTTTTATTATACTGTATTTATTTTTAATTTTTAATTTTAAACTAATTTTTTTTTAGTCAAATATTTTTTATTGTTTTAATATTGATGATTTTCATAATATTCATGGAATACATAGACCAAATACAACATCACTTTCTTCAGTAAGTCATATGGCAACATGTGTAGCAAAACCAATTATTAATATATTACCAGCTTTAGCAACTATAAATAATGGTTTATCTAATCAATGTTCATTTTTTAACTTAAATAATGTTGAAGAAACACTAATTATAGAATATTTATATAATAATATTATAGGTGGATTTGATATAAGTTATAATTTACAAAAATATTATTGGATAAATAATAATATTCAATTTGAAGATCAAAATCAAATTGAATTACTTACAGTACATATATATGATGATGCTATAACTGAACGTAAAGAAGAAAGATCAATGAAAAATATTAAAATAATTGGAGTAAAAGAACAAAGTTTACATTCAGTAAAAGACTATTTAGATGCACTAAAAATAATAACTTCTATAGAAACTTTTAAACAATATTTTCAAAATAATGTTATACCTATAATTGCAGATTGGCCAGGACAATATTATATTAGAAAACTTTTAACACATTATTATAAAAAAGTTGATACACCAGAATTTAATTCAATTTTTGTTCCTGAAGAAGTTAGTAATTTTATTCCAATTATAGGACCTCTTCATGTTTCATTAAATTTTCGTGAACAAGTTATTCTTGTTCATTATTCATTTTTTAAAAAATTTTTTCATTATATATTTGGTGAAAAAAAAAAATTTGCTAAAAAACCAAAACCTTGGAGAATTAATTTATTATTAGAATTAATTCATAATGGATGGAAAAAAATTTCAGAAAAAATTTTATTAAAATTTGGAAATAATTGTAAAGATATAGAATATTGTATGATTTTAGATCTTTTAGATAATTTAGTACCAGCAACTTTAGATATATATGCAGTTCTTTTTAGATCTGGAAAATTTAATTAATATTTTGATACTTTATTTAGATTATGGACATTTGCATTACGATGGAAACGAAAAAATTATAACAAAGCACCTTTAGCTTTTATATCAGATTATCTTTATTGGTATAAAAATAATCATCCTTTAGCAAATATTATATCACAAAATTTAGTTAATTTTAATGATTATTTTGTTGAAAATTTTCATAGTCGATTAAGAGCAAATATTAATTATAATAGTACTGCAGATAAAATTATTGAACAATCTTATGTTTTAGATATACATAATAATCAATTTTTTGATACTTTTCATAATGAAAAAATTTATCCATATAAGCCAAATCAATTAGATTATTTAACAAAAAAAAGTAGCTTATTTTTATTAGAACATTTTCAACAAATTTTTCAAAATATTGGAGAAAGTAAAATAATTAAAAGCAAAGATGGTACTAAAGTTTTTTTAAAAACATTAAATGAAAATTTAGATATTAAATGTTTACCATCAGGATATCATACAGCTCATATACCAACACCAAATGCTTGTGATCGCTGTACAATTCAAATTAAATATTCAACTGGAAAAACATATATTTGTGGACATTCATATCATAATAATTGTTATAATTCTATTTGTAAACATTGTTTAGAATATTATAAAAGAGGAATTTTTCAACAAGTCAAAGCATTTAAACAAGGATTAGAAAAAAATACTGATAAAGATAATATTACAGATAATGAAGATACTAATGATGATAATGAATTAGATGATGAAAATAATAATAAAATTCAAGAAGATAATTTAGATAATAGACTTCAAATAGCTATTAATACTATTAATCAATGGTAAAAGTAAAATAAATCACATTAATTATAATATAATAATATTTCTATTTAATTTTTAAATTTTTTATTTTAATAAATAATATTTAATTATATACAATATAAATAATTTTTAAATTTATAAATTTAATATTAATAATACAAACCTAACACAATTATTATAATACAAACCTATCATAATTATCATATAAAGATAAGACCTATATAAAATTTCTACTCCAG